TGGCACAAGAGAAGCGAGCACTCCGTAAAGCCAGAGCTGCAAATGCTGAAGCAACAGTGTCCACATTTCTCTGTTCAGTATGTGGCAGAACATTCCGTGCTAACATCGGTCTAATCAGCCATCTACGGACACACCGTTGATGGCCCACAATCCACAAGATGTCAAGGTCTTCATCGAAATCGATGGACGAACAACAACAACAACAAAAAGATTTTTATCGCACCTTTATTGTTTTAATACATATTTCAAAGTGGCAAATGTACATAATGCTCCTTCTTCCTATTTTCCCCTTGACACAACTATTTTTAAAATAATATATTAAAAGTTTGTTTACTTATTTATTTATTTTCCTGTGGACTGGCTTAATGTTCTAAAATCTGTGCTGGCTTCAAGCTAGGCACTATTTAATAAGCTGTTTGACTTAATCTAGAGCTGGTTATCCATTTCTGCAAACATAAATGTTGTCATATATCTACAGTGTCATTTTGGCTTGTGAACTAGTAGGGTAAGTTTTATTTGTTAAATCAAAGTATCATGCATTGGTAGACAGTCCTCTGGAAATGAAATATACATCTTTTTTAGTTTATTGCCTTAGAATCATTCAACTGGGACAAAGAAGACAGCTTAGACTCTGCTTTTATATCAGTGTACTATGATTGACAAAACCTCATTGATTAGATAGCTCCTTTCTTCCAATTGCTAGTGGTATTTTCTTCTTTAACTGTACCATTTTCACCTAAGAATGGTTAGAAAAAACAGAAAATTTTATTTTGTTATCCCAACAATTTTTGTATGATATTTATTGTTTTTCTTGGTTTGTTTGCAATGCTTATATGTTTGAACTGTTCACAAGATGTTGTCTGACACTTCTAATGTGAATTTCTCTTGACTCTTTTCTATCTAAGCATGATGGCTCAAGGGATTTAAATGATATCATCTTGAACTTAAACAGAAATCACAAAAATAAGCAGTTCTGTTTATTAAAATATGAAGTAAAAGCTAAAGTTTTGTTCATAATCGGGGCTTTTCCTATTTAACTCATACAATACCCATTAATGTCTAAGAATAAATTTAGTTTCAGGAAGAATGAAATTATTTAAAAAATATGAATGGCGGAAGGGAACTGAATCAGTTGTGAACATATAAATATAAGTTGCAAATCCAAATGCAGCAGAATTATTGAAGTGAGATTACAAAAATATAATTTGCTAATAAAAAACTCCTAATAAGGGTAATATTTTAAAAAACCTATTTCTATGACATGAAGGTAGAATTTATGCCAAGAAACTATGAATAATTAAAGGATTTGCTTTGATAATATTGCCAAATTTCTCTTAACCCTTTCCATTTCTGTAAGTCCTTTTACTTGAGATGGGATTAACCAAGCGCAGAATACCGTACTTTTGGAACTGTTTCTTCCCATGTTTTGGAAATGCTGCTTAATTAATGAAGCCTAAATCAAATATATTTACAAAATTCTTTACCAACTTTTATTTCTCATAGTATATAGCATGCATTTGAGAAGAAAAGATACATAATTAATACTTGGATGTATTATAGACTTAATTTCTAGATGTCTGTGACTAGAGTATTGGCTTCTGCTGTG